AAAGCTAATGCATTACTGTAATCTTAAATTATGTACTTTTCTATGGGACTGACCCACAGTAATGCATGTGTATAATTTTCTGAAAGCACAAAATACAGAAGTTGAAAACAATTTCCTAAAAATCTACAATGAAGATTGAAAGCAAACCTTTGTGGATATTGGTTAATAAACAATGATATTTATTTCCTGGATCAGTTGGGATCAGCTGAAGTCTGTACCATAATCCCTTGTAAAATTTTGTTAAAGATATCTGTGTGGAATCCTATTCTGTATCTATGTGATGCTTTATATACTGTTCATCAAATACATAGTGAAGACCTTTGTTAGCAACACCACCACCACACACACACACACACACACACACACACACACACACACACACACCACACATACACACACAGAGAGTTCATACAACAGACAAATCAGACACAGTGGCAGACACAGTCCTTAGGCAGGCAGAGTCAGAATCCTAGAACAGACAGAGGATGGATGACATAGGGAGTACGAAGTATAAAATTCAAATCTGAACTCACTCTTGCTTAAATGACTCCAAGAGGAAGTGCTTATTTTTCTTTGTTTACCGTGACACCAACACAGTATTGGTAATTCAAAGTTAATCATAAATGTGTATAATCCTCACACATATCATGTTACAGCTTGTTAAATAAGTCTGCATCCATTTTACACCATTTTAAAGTATTAACTTCATTTGCTTATTCAATGTGTATTTTTGAATGCCTACTTTAAACACTTCCTGAGCCATGTGGGAGGAATCATAGTGATAAGATCCAGCTCCTGTCACTGTCCCTAAATACTTTGTAAGTTTTTGTGTGAAGAGTTCTTTTTAAACTGTCATCTCCTCAAAACATCTTTGTAAACTGACTTAATTATATAAAAAAGAAAGAAACTTGAAATTTGTTTGAAAGCTATTCTTGGTTTGCATTGTTATAACAGAATCCCTGAAGTGGGAGATTTTATAAAGATGGGAAAACTGAGGCAGGAGAAATGGCTCAGAGGGAAAGAGCAACCATCGCTCTCACGGAGGACTCAAGTTCAGTTCCCAGCACCGACACTGGATGGCTCACAACTGCCTGTCACACCAGCTCCGGAAAATCTGAAGACCCTGTGTAGTCTCCTTAGGCTCCCATACTCACACTTGCACATCCATCCCCCCCATAGATACACAAAATTATCATGTCATTCTTTGTTTCTTAGGATATTTTATCATGCTCTTTGGTTGAATTTTCCTCAGATATTTTATGTTTTACAGGAAATAAAATGAAGTAAACTTCAGAAAGTCTTTGAAGTAATAAATTAACATTCTCTGTTGGGTATTGAAAATGTTAGAGGAAAGTTTGGGGTTCCTTCCTAGTGTCTTTGTAGATGACTGCATTTCTTTCCCTGCAAAGGCTTTGGCAATGTTCACTTTGTGTGGCAAACACGTAAGATTCTTAGTACTGCAGTCAATCAAAGTCACTGTAATGATGTTGTCAGATGTAAACAGCACATTAGTGAGGAAACAGAAGGAAATGATTTTTATATTGATAATTAGGTATAGATTCTTTCATTGCAGCAGAGGGTTTAATTCTCCTCTAGAGTTATGTGGCTACAACCTCAAATTTTGGGGAATTCATCAATAAACTCTTTTAATGCCCTATTTCCCAACACTTATATATGTGAGAATGGTATTCAAAAAAAGAAAGCCAATAAAAAGGATAAAACACTGAAAAGAAGTGATGAATAATTGTCTACTTTCTGGAAGACATGATACATTTTATCATCTCCGTCTCTCATTATGACTTTGTTCTTTAGGAACCCTATTAGAAAAACAGCCTGTTACACAAACAGTGGGTTCAGCAGGAATATTTAATTGCCTTTCTTTCTTTATTGCAAATATGTTTTCTACAGTCTTGTGATTCAAAGATACAATTAGAATGCTTATCTTTCAGGCTTTCAAACAGAAGGTCATGTTTCTTGCAGAGAGGAACTCTAATGACTCGGCTTTTTTTCCCCTCTGTATCTATATTACATTTCACCTTGTACTGATGCATAATTGCAAGGAAAACTCCCACAGAAGAGCAAGATGAGACAGAAAATTGACTGGAATGTGGATCTTCATTGGAAGTTACTGTATCAATGAATATATGAGTTTGTATCTATCTAAAACCATTGTTTATTAAATAAAACTCCTGGCAGAACAGCACTTACAAAATTAATCCATGTTGTAGAAGTTTTTATTCAAGAAAGTTAAGATGCTGAATTCTCATCTCATTTTTTCAAATTCTACCACCATGCTATTTGACATACATCTTAATATGTACATTTGAAACAGGGCTAAATATATGCATTTATTTCTATGAAAAAATCATATATACATACATATATATATATATATATATATATATATATATATATAGTATTAGTCAGGGTTCTCTAGAGAAACAGAACTGATGGGTTGAATGTATATGTACATATATACACATATATACATACACACATACACACACACGCGCACACACACACACACACACACACACACACACACACATATATATATATATATTCAACAGTGGCTCTCTACGGATGGAGAAAATGGAAAATCCAAGAATTCAGCAATTGTTGAGTCCATGAGGTATAGTGTCTCAGCTGGTCTTCAGTATACACCAAAATCTTGAAGAAATAGGCTCTAATACCAGGGAGGAAATGAACTTGCCACTGAGCATGAAGGAAAGCAGGCAAAGAGCAAGCATTTCCTTCTTTGATTTCCTTTATATAGGCTGCCACCAGAAGGTGTGGCCTAGGTTTAAGGTAGATCTTCCCACCTCAAATGATCTAATTTAAAAAAATCCCCTAGAGGTGTACCCAGACACTTGGGTTTTAATTAATTCCAGATATATTCAAGTTGACAACCAATTTTTTTTTCATGTTTTTTCAAGACAGGGTTTCTTTGTGTAGTGTTGGAGCCTATCCTGGAACTCAATCTGTAGACCAGGCTGGCCTTGAACTCACTAAGATCCTCCTGCCTCTGCCTCTCAAGTGCTGGGATTAAAGGCGTGCACTACCACTCCTGGCATAAGAACAGTCATCTTTACATATAAATTTATGTATATGTCTTTGTTAGGGTTTCTGTTCCTGTGAAGAGACACCATGACCACAACAATTCTTATAAAAGGAAAATATTTAATTTGAGTGGCTTGCAGTTCAGAGTTTTAGTCCATTATTATCAGGGTGGGATAAGGTGGCATGTAAGAAGACATGGTGCTGGAGAAGGAGCTGAGAATTCTACATCTTGATCAGAAGGCAGCAGGAAATGGATTGAGACAGTGGATGTAGCTTGGACATAGAATACCTCAAAGCACGCCCCTACAGTGACACAGTTCCTCCAAAATGCCACACCTCCTAATAATGCCACTCCCTATGAGCCTATGGGAACAAATTACATTCAAACTACCACAGTACATTTATATAAAAAACTTTTCTGTATAGGAATTACATGGGAAATATACATGGGTAACTGGATGGATGATGAATGTTTGAGGGTGAGTTGATGAATACATATGTAGATACCCAGACATACAGATATTTCGGCAGATGATGTGATATTTGCATGTAAAACATGTTAAAATTAAAATATGACAAAATGCCTATGTTCTTAAATATTTAAAAGCTTCAAAATTGAGAATATTCATATAATAATATACATTTCAACATGTAAGTACATAAATTGAAAATCTTAGGAAAGTACACGATTTTTAGTAATGTTGAATCTACATTTCAGAAATAAATATAAAAATATTTTTGTTGACTTTAAGGAGAATCTCAGACTAGTTTTTAATTTTCAGGATTTATTCTTTCATTATTATCAGAGAATTTCATACATGTATTAAATGAAATATCATCACATCTACCCATCATTCCCCTCTGGAAGTCTCCCCAGATCTTTCCTACAGATTCACCTCTACCTAATGTCCTCTTCTTCAACTTTACTTTTAAATAAACTACTAAGTATGTAGTGCCTCCATGTGAGCATAGGTATGAGGCTATCCATGGGAGCATGGCCAAGCTACTTTCAGCCACCCTTGAAAGAATGAATCCCTCTCTGTCCACCAGCAGCCATCAACTGCAAATACCTGTACGGTCAGGTTCATAGCCTTGTGTGTTCCTCCAACATCTATGGTGGAATGTTGCTTGGCTTGGTCTTGAGCAGCCCTGGTATATGTAACCTCAGCTGTGATGAGCTCATGACTGCCACAGTCATGTCATACCCAGAAGATAACAGTTGAAAACATACCTCGCTACCCTGAGGCTTTTATACACGTTCTTCCTCCTTATCTTTGAGGCTCCCTGAGTTGGGGGAAGGCTTGATACAGATATACTGTTTAGTGCAAAGCAGTCTTAGTCACTTAGCCTATGCAATTTAGCCAGTTATGAGTCTCTGCATTGAGTGCTGTAGACTAATAGAATCTTCACAGGCCAAAGTTGAGATCAATCCAATATATGGATATAAACGTAACTATTAGGCAGGCAGTTTGAATAGACCATTTAGTAGGGTCTACCCTAGGACCAATGAACTCTATAGCTATGGAGTTTGACCAGGTGTACATTAGTAGGTTTGACTTTCATCTTTTAAAACAGTCCCAAAATCCAATCAGAAAGTAGTTATACTATAACACTCACGCCACTATTGCACCTGTGGACACATTTTGACTGGCAGGTCAGTGTTGTAGCACACAGGCTCCAATGCTGAGAAAGACCACTGACATCTTTCCTCTTTCAACGATAGTCAAATCACCTCATTATTCAAGAAAAAAAGCTTATGATGATCTCAGATATTTGCAAAAGCCTCACTTTTAGGGAGAATGAGAACTGATAATGATATTAAGTTATCAAACCAGTAGTTGAAAGAATAAATATATATTTCAAATGTAAGGTAAATAATTATCTTTAACAACTCAATAAAATAGGTCGAACAATTTAAGCAGCACAAAGATAATTAAATTCATATAGATATTAAGTAAAACTGTGACAGAAATCAGAAAAAGATATTTAATCAACAGAATTTAATGAGATGCCATATATATTGGAGTTTTGCAGGTGAAACAAACTAGATGACTGCATGATATTGGGTCTGTTTCAACTGAGGGATTACATTCCCTTACTATAATTTGTAAAATTCTGGAAAAAAGGAAACACCTAACATTGCAGAATGGTACAATAAATCTGAGGAATCTGAATGCAATGTTAAGTTAAAAAGAAGGAAAAAGTGGTCATTTGTATACATTGTCTTAACTGTGGCTGGGATACTGGACTACATAAATAGAGAAGGGAAACTGAGCAGTGGCATGCATGCACTCACCCCTCACTGCTCTTGGATTGTACATGTGATACAGCCAGTTGCTTTAAGCTCTTGACCACTTCTCTTCCTTGCCATGATGGAATCTAGCATGAACTTTGAGTGAAAACAAACCCTTATTTCCTTAAGTTGCTTTTTTCAGAGCATATTGCCATATAACCTAGAAAAGAAGTCAAGGCAACAACTGATAAAAGATAGATGAGACTTGGTCAAAATCATCATACATTATGTATATATTTTAAACATCCAAATTACTCCAAATAATAAAAATGTAACATTGGTTTATGCATATTTAAAACATATGGCTTCTCCTATGATTGTTGTATCCAGTGAAGACAAAGATTACTTGCTTCCCAGTACTGAGTGGAGTTAGTTGAACTTGACAAAGCAACCATTTAATTCATACAGAATAATGACCATGACAAGATAGTCACCTTCCAAGTGGACTCATCAGAATTTAGCATAGACATAATAAAACCATTACTAGTGAAGTAAAACAGCAAGCTTATAAGGAGATATGTACATATATGAAAGCATAAAAAAGGAATAACCACTTAATAAATGAAAATTTAGAAATTGGTGTCCATGAAAGAATAGATAAGCTCATGTTTATATCATAAAACATTTTCTGAAAGGATACAAATTGAAAAATACAAGGCAAAAACTGAATGTTTAAAAATATATTAATATCATCATATTTAGACAGAAAAGGATTTTGTAAACAGGACCACAAAGGCAAAAGTCTTACCACTAAATTTGATTCATTAAAGTCTAAAATAAGTATTAAGCAAATTAAAGAATATAGAATTTAAACATTTAACTGAAAATATTTATCTAAAAAAATTAGCATGTATGATATACATAACAATATCTTATAGAATGTGAAAATGGAAGGAAATACATAAGTAAATCATATAAAATTAAAGTAATATATGAAATCTAAACCTTTTACAATGCTGTTATTGCTGTAAGCATCCATTAATATCTCATTCACAATCAAATTCAATAGCAAGTAATTTGAAAATGAGAGTTTCATACTTTAGAATATGTCAGGTACAATATGCTTTGTTTGATAGATCCATGTTTTTTCCCACATAATAGAAAAAAATTGCTCAGAAGCCCATTTCTCTCATTATGGACTTCTAATAAAGGTCTAGGTAATCTGGTTTCTAATAGATCACATGATCATAAACTTCAAGGTAATGTGCTAATTTTTTGTGGACAACTCCTTGTGAGATGAAACCTCTAAAGACTAAAACATAGAAGGTGATGAGCATATTGGGAAAATGAAGCAGGAAGAAGCAGAAATAGGACAAATATTAGAATCAGATCTTTAAAAGCAGGTGTCCTGGTCCCAAAAGGAGTCAATTGGATGCAATTCATTTCCTAAAGAATATGCTAATAGGAATATAACTTTAAGGAAATAAATATTCATAATCCGTATATAATTTCCCTGGACACTGTGGTTGGTTTTTAAATTTGAATGATTATTTTTGTTTCACATAAAACTAATAATTTAACCAGAGCACTACCCCAAACAAGAGAGTCAAGCTGAACTAATATCATGAAATTTTGATTAGGAATTACGCCATCGTATTCTGACTATTGCCCTAGTTGGTGGTGATATAGAGCAGTCATTATGGCCCGCATTCAGCCATTACAAAAATCCTTCAAAGGCATTCTGATTTTTGATTTTTGACTGAATATGGAGAGTGCTTTTGAAAGGACACTCTGTGAGGTAAGAGTCAAACAGGTTGACACTAAGCAGAAAATCCTCATTTAATTTTGTTATGTCTTTTCCAGAACAATTTAGCATCACAGTTGGACAATGTGGTCTCATCTGTATGTGACTAGAGATATACATTTTAGACCAGATATGGAATGGACTCCTTCATGTATTTTTATATAATTATTGACTTAAATTCTTTTTCTTTCCCATTACATACCAACCAGTTCCCCCTTCCTCCTCTTCTCCGCTGCAGCTAATACATCAACCTAGTTGAGGATGGTGGAACTTTAATCAGGATGATGTCAGAAGAGACAGTAAGAAAGGGTTATAGAGATGCTCCAGATACGTGCTTTTGTGGGTTTGAATGTGAGACACGAGAGAAATAAGAAGAAAAAGATAGCACCTGCATCAAAAGGGTTGATATTATCATATGAAGTTGCTGAATCAATGAGATAATATACCTAGGTAATTTTGTACAGCAAATTATCCGCAGTAAGTACTCAATAAGTGATCTTCTCTAATAATTTCCTAGATTCATCCTGAGATCATAGACTGTTTCAGACACCTTTATAGAGCAAGTGGATCTACTGTTTCAGACACCTTTATAGAGCAAGTGGATCTACTGTGAAGTATGGAGTTCTGATGTCACAGTTGACAGGCTAGGGAATCACTAAAACTGAGCAAAATGAAACCACCGAAAATACTTCCCGGTTAATTAAGCTGTGTGTTTGCTCAACCAATGCAGTAACAGGTTGCCATGAACTGTGACTAATTGACATGTAAATGGATGGTTTAATGGCAGACTTTAGTCTTCATCAATGTTTTCTAGTAGATTAACGTCAGAGTCTCCCATTCTTGTGTTTTAAATCTCAAAAAGTTGAGAACAGCTGCCCTGCTCAGGCAGAATTTTCCGTTGGTACCTTGAGTGTTTACTGTGTGAACTATAGTTTCTTCCTTCATAAATGGGGACGAAAAGGCTAAACCTATGAGATTATTCAATATGTTAATTAAAATGAAGAGTGTAAATTACTTAGTGTAGTTCTAGGGATATAGTGATTGCTCATTGAATGTTAACCATCATCATCATCATGGGAAGAATTCAGATGATGATTAACAGAAGCATGATGTATAGTCATTCATAACTTGAGACTGAATAAAATTGCATCAAAATCATTTTCTGTGACATCTACTGTGTTCCAGTAGCTCTCAAAAGTTCAATAAATGAAGCAAAATATCCACATGGGTTTAATTGTAAAATTAGGTACCATAATCCCACAGCAACAAAATATATTGCATTTTTATTTGGCCCCCAAACAACACACCTCCACTTTCTTTCCCTATTCTCTTTCGAAGAAGAATAACATATTCAGGTTTATGTATATGTTCACAGCCCGTTAGGAGTCTTTAATCTCTTTTTGAAGCGCTGTAGAAAGTAATGAGATCCCAAAAGTAAGCCTGAAGGGCCTCTAAATAACCAGAAAGGAATAGCTAATCTCATACAACCAAGCCTTGTAAAAAAGCAATTTGTTAGTTAATGATATAAATACAGCATCCTCACTTGAGGGTATGTGCCATAAAACAAAATCACCTTCCACATATGTATGAAAACATACGGAGACCGACCTGGAGTTAGTGGAGTAGGCCTTGCATAATGCATCATCCTTAATAGTGCTGCTAAAATTATTTTAAAAAAATAAAAAGGAAAGAAAGGAGGAAAATCTCATTAGCACCTTATCTCATGGAGCACTTAAAGGTAATCAGCAAAGGAAGGGGGTCTCACAGAGCAATTAGTGGCTGTTAAATTTAGACAGAATTAGAGGGGCTATTCTACACCAGGTTCCTAGTCAACTGTGAATCACTGGGCTGAGCTTTTTAAGGGTTGGTTCATTAAGGAGCAATCACAGCAGGTGTGGTTTTCCAAGTTAACGTTAAGAGGCAGCATATTTCATGCCTCCAGTCAAGACAGTGGAACTCTAAGGGGCTGCTTCCTAAGCCTGCACATTTATTTGAAATTTTTTTGTTTACCTCAGAACTCCTGCAGGACTCAGTTCCTGACATATTAAATATTTGTATCACACTTTGTACTTGCTTTATAATTTGTTCTTGTCTCACATTAGAACCATATTATTGCCTCCCTTATATTTATAAGGTGACCTAAAATCACTTCTTTACACTATGATAGTATACTAGTGACTGTTTGACATCACCTATTTTAAAGACAGAAGCATCTGTTGTCTCTATTTGTCTGTCTGTCTGTCTACCATCTATGTATAAATCTAACATGTTATTTATCTGAGTAGCACCTGTCTATGTGTTACAAATGACATTCAAATTATATGTAAAACCTATTTTATTAAAAAGAAAAACCTCACATTAGCTAGACATAATATACAGTATTCTCCAAACACATTAAAAAGTCTAACTTAAATAGTTATATTATTGAGCTTGGTTCTCCTTAAAACCTTTTCCTCATTTTCGTTATTCTTTGACCTTTTATTTTTTAAGAAATCTAGACAGAGACTTCCCATTCTATATTCATGTTCATTTTCTCTCTCCTAAGGGGTGTGTGTGTGTGCGTGCACGTGTGTGTGTGTGTGTGTGTGTGTGTGTGTGTGTTTTATTTTGAGACTAGGTCTTACTATAAATCAGCAGCATGGCCATGAACTTGTGATCTTTCTACTTCAGTCTCCCAAGTGCTGGGATCATGGGTAGGCACCACCATGCTCTTCCTGTTCTCAAATGACACCACATAATAAGTTTTCATCTGAAGATAAATCTTAATAACTTAAAATATCATTAATCTCTGAAATCATACAAATTGAGTGCATCTATATGGAGACAGTTGCCTCAAAAGCTGTAAAGTATATCATTTTACATCTGGAGATCATTATTGATACCATGCTATTTTGCTTCCAGGAACAAAATATACAGCTTTACATGTGTTCATTAGGAAGAGATAAAGAGGCTCCTGGGAAACCATGAGCCTGTTGCTGGTTACAAGTGAAACTGACTAGAGTCAAATGCGTTGATTCTGAGACTACAGAAAAGCCGAGGATGGGAATTATAGGGACATTAATTCCCATGTAAAGGATCCTGTGACCTGAGCCTAGCTGAAGATATCAGGTATCGAATGTTTTTGAAGTTAGTGTCTGCTCAAAAGTAATAGACACTAATATAAGATTTCAAAATATTCATCTATCCTTAGCATTTGCTTAGCAACTGCTGTTCTATGTTATAATACGAAACTGTCAAACCATACTCTGTTAGGAAAGCTATATTGAATAGGTTTGCAAAGAAGAGCCTAAACTAAAAATCTGTTTAACAAAAATGAGCAGAGCCTGGAGATATAGGGTGACAGACAATAAATAGCAACTGGGAGGGAAATGTTGGGATCTTTGTGGATGATCGAATATGCAGGACTGAGGCAACTGACTTTCAAAACGGCTATCAATAGAACGATGTCATCCCTTACCCATTTTTTTTTTTTGTTTTTTTGTTTTTTTCAAGACTGGGTTTCTCTGTGCAGTTTTGGTGCCTGTCCTGGATCTTGCTCTGTACACCAAGCTGGCCTTGAACTCACAGAGATCTGCCTGGCTCTGCCTTCCTTGTGCTGGGATTAAAGGTGTGTGCCACCACCGCCTGGCTGCAGACTATCTAAAGTTGATGCTCACAAGGCAAGTAAAACACCAGGAGAAAATCAAAAGGGTTTCAAATATTGTAAATAAAAAAAATGACCACTGAAAGTGGAACAGCTGTTACTGAAAAGTGACCACCGAAATTTCATCTGTTACTGAAAAGTAACCACTGGAAGTGGGACAGGGAGAACTCCAAAAGATTACACAACAGCACAGGTAGAGAAAAAAGAAATGAAGCCAATGTTGAGCTAATAACAAAAGGCAGAGTCAGGAATTTATCTTTGTTACAAATTATTGAGCATCCAAATTTATCTTTAAAAACTGGTTATTTAATGTTTTCACACTGTTCACTAAAGGTCTTTGCCTCCTTGATATCACATGCCACCTGTAGTATGTAGTATACACATACATATGTGTGTAGATCTATTTCTGAATCTCTCTTCTATAACATTGGTCATCAGTCCATTCATGATCCAATAGAACTCTGTTCTAAGTATGAGACTATTTACTATTTAAAAGCCTTGAAGCAAACTATTTCCCTTTGGAACATTTATTTATTTATTTAGGAACATCTATCTATCTGTCTATCTATCTATCTATCTATCTATCTATCTATCTATTTAATTTTAGTCTCTGTCAATGATTTTCTGGTTCTTCTTGTACATTGTTTTCCACATGAACTAATTAATACCAACTTACTGAGCTCCATTAAGAAAGGCTATTGGCATTTCTATGGTTGGAATTTTGCTAAATAAATTAATTGGTTTCAAGAGGGGCTAGCATATTGATGGTGATGAGTCATCCTGTTCAGGAAGGATGTCCATCCACCTGCTCAAATCTGATACTGTACTCATTGTTCAGGAGTTTTCCTTTCAGAGACTTGCCAGAGTTCCTGTTAGTATTTGCTCAACTTTATTCCTGTTAATGGGGTTTACTCATGTCTGACAACTGTTCACTAGAAGTCCATTTATTTTAATATATTAATTCCATATCATGTTACATTTCTAAATTATCTTATCTTCCTTATTTCATGCTTCAAATCTGTGTCATATTTATTGACTTATAAAGTATCATTTCTTCAAATGTGTACATTAATCTTCCTACTTCAAAAGTTTGTCATTCAAGTTGGTTGTGGGTTTTGTTTTTGTTGTTTTTCTGCATTGTTTTGGGAATGATGTAAGTGGAATGGAGACACTGAAATGTGAGGAGTCTCATGGACTGGTTGTTTTCTGTAAGAATTTTGGGCAAGTTTATCTTATTTCTTTTGCTCATTTTCTGGGTAAAAGGAGATTGATAAGATACCATGATTTGTCTTGATACACCGTCCTCTCAGAAGTAAGGCCCGGTTTTGTTTGTGTTTGTGAGAGGAGATGTCAGAGCTCACAACTACTGGGGAGAATAAGCACCAGAAAGACTTCGGATTCATCACCTGGGCTGTGTTGTCTGATTCACCAACAACCGAAAATATGTCATTTTCTTTCCTTTTGGCTGTTTATCCTACAGCTGTCCCTGTCAAAAAATGTCATTTACGGAGTCACTTATCATTTAAACTCCTTTCCCTGAGTCAGCACTCTGATTTACAAGGATAGGATGCTTCATAGAGAGACACCCTCTTTCTTGTCTTTGACACAAAGCAATTTGGAACTAAACTCTTTGCTACTATCTCCTTGGACAGTCTTCGTTTTCAAGAAAGTTTACATGAATCATGAGAGACTGCATGCTGGGATGTGATCTTGCTTCCTCCTTCTGTTGTTCTCTTTTTCTGGTGTTTTTTTTTAAAAAATGATTATTATTTTTTAATTTTAATGAAAACTAGGTCAGAGATCCTAGACAATCTATAACTTGATATTAACACCGATCAATATGTTTCTGCCTCAGACACAGCCTCCTTAACCTCATATGGTTAGAAGCTGAAATGGGTATATTCTCTTCCACCTGTGTTAGTGGCTAGGAAGATCTGTAGTATAATAGACGATCTTTAATAATCATTTTATTGATTTCTTTTTCCATTTGTGTTCTACCCTAGTCTCTGGGCTAGCCAGTCTCCAGTTCCTGGCCATCCAGGACGTGTTAGATGTAGGCTCCCTCATCTTGGGTAGCTCCCTCACCGTGGGTGAGCCTGGCATGGACCTCAAGTTAAACCAAACATTGGTTGGCCATTCCACAAGTTCTTCGCCACCATTTCCCCCAGCACATCTTGCAGGCAGGGCAAATTGTAGGTGGAGGGTTTTGTGGCTGTGGTGGTGTCCAGGTTTCTCTTTCCATAGCAGAGGCTTTTTCTTGCCAAAGAGACTAGAACATAGGGGGAAAGGCTTCATGCCTCACATCTCAACCTCTCTGCATTCAGTAAACTCTGTGGATGTTGTCCTCAGCAGTGGGGCCCCATTGTCAGTTTTCAGAGAGCAACCTTCTGTCCTAGCATCAGCCTCGGTGGTTTATGGATCTCTATGAGACACCCCCCTCACCTTGATCAGCAACTCAAATGAAGGTAATCCAGTCCCACCGCAGGAAGCCTTACCTGGCTGCCAAAGACAGCCCGTTCAGACTCACATCTTCCATTACTCGGAGTTGTAGATCATTGCTTGGTCTAGGTGTCATCACAGAGGCTTCCTCCCTCAGAAGATGGGAGCAGGTGCAAAGACCCACAGTCAGACATTATGCTGAGAGAGAGTCTAAATTGGAAGTCTCCATCAGGTCCCTCCCCTTGGAGATCAGGGAACACTGCAGAAGAGGGGGAAGAAAGATTGCAGGAGTCGGAAGGGGTGAAGGACACCAGGAGAACACCGCCAGCTGAATGGACTAAACAGGACTAACATGAGTTCACAGAGACCGAAGCAGCAAGCACCGGGCCTGCATGGCTCTGCACCAGGTCCTCTGTGTGTATGTTATGGCTGTTGGCTTGATGTTTTTGTGGGACTCCTGACAGTGGGAGTGAGTGTGTCTCTGACTCCTCTGCCTGTTCTTGAGACTCCTGTTGGGTTGCCCGATCTACCTTCAATAGCAGGGCTTTCACCTTGTCTTTTTGTATCATGCTTTTGTCTGTCTGTCTGTCAGGTAGCTCTTGGAACCTGCTCTTTTCTGAAGAGGTAACAGAGCAGGAGTGGATCTGGGGGAGAGGAGAAGTGGAGGGGTAGCTGGGAGGAGTGGAGGGAGAGAAAACTATGGTTGGAATGTATTGTATGAGAGAATCTATTTTCAATAAAAATTTTTAAAAAATTGTGTCAGTCACATTTTATAATTTTTATATATTAAAATATTTTAAATTGTATTTTTTTCTCTTTTACTTATATTGAAAATGTTTTGTCTCACATAATATGTCCTGATTACAGTTCCCCCTCCGTCCATCTCTCCTAGTTCCTTCCCACCTCTTCTCCTATTCGGCAGCATGCACAGACCAGCAGAGTTCTCTGCATTAGGTCTTCTGTGCATATGTTATGGTTTCCAGTTTAGCATTTCTATGAGGTTTCTGAGTGTGCAAATGATTGGACCTCTGATTCTGATGTCTTCTCTTGGACTCTTTCTTCTGTTCACTTCTTTTGTCTAATTCTGACGTGTTAGTTTTTTGTTTTATCATATTATATCATTCTATCATCCCTTAGAAGCCTGTCCCCCCCCCAAGGGTGTTTTGTTTCTGATACAGTCTCATTGTGTAATCCAGGCTGGCCTTAATTTCCCTTCAGACAGTCCAGCCTTAGCCTCCACAGGTTGAGGCTACTAGAATGAACAACCATGTCCAGTTTTTACTTTTTTATTCATTTTTTAAAATTTCATTCCTGTATATAATGCATGCCGATTATTCTTTCATCTCAATACTGTCTTATCTTTCTCCCACCCCCATTACCTCTCTGCCTTCTCCTTTCTAACTTCCCACCCCCAGTCTCTTTGGTTTCTATGGAAACTCCAAGTTGACCATACAAAATTAGAAAATTATAGGCAACATCTACCTATGAAGAAGAATGTGGCTTTTTGTGTGTGTGTGTGTGTGTGTGTGTGTGTGTGTGTGTGTGTGCACCTAGGTTACCCTACCCAATATAATTTTCACCAGAAATTCACCAGAATATTCATAATTTCACTTTTGTATAGCTGAATAATAATTTATTGTGTATAGATATCACATTTTTATTATAAGCAGAGGTTCTTAAATAAAATAGGCTCTTGCAATTCCTATTGGTTGCTCACCACAACTAGGTGATAAGATCCTATTAATGAAGATAGGACACACTTTTGTTGCATGATATTAGGAAATCAAGCTAAAACTGAGCTGAAAGCCTCTTCTTATTGGTTAGGTTCATAGACTTGGAAAACATTATTCAGGCAACCAAGGGAGAAAAAGCATTAATGTTCTTACCCACTTGTGAACCTTACGAACTATGCAAACAAACTGCCAGGCAAGACATGCCCACTTGTGCAAACAGTTGCACTATGGTTATGGGGTTAATCAACTGCTGTGATTGAATTTGAGACCAGTTCCATAGGAGATATCCCATGCCTGGTACTATATACCTGCTCAAAATACAATGGCAGAGAGACCATAGGCCTTTAGGAGTATACTGAATACTCTATTTGTCTAAGTTGACATAGCATCAAATTGCTTTCTAAATATTTGGGTTTCTAGTCATAGACAAATGCTACTCTCACTCATAATCAGAGATGCTTCTCTTTGCAATAAAAAGCATTGAATGCAGAAACTCATGGGTTCACAAGGTGCTGAGAATAAGTGATTTCTAAGAACTCACTCCTAAGGAAAACATTTGAACCACCCCATCTTTGTCTCAGGGAACAGTGTGGAAGACAGGGCAGAAAGTATACAAAAATAGAATGGAAGGTCTGTGGTGGTATTGTGTTCCCCAAAATATTGTGTACCTTAATAAACTTATCTGGGGTCAGAGAACAGAAAAGCCACAAGATACTTAGGCTAGAAAATGTTAGCACACGCCTTTAATCCTAGCATTCCAGAGACAGAAATCCCTCTGGATCTCTGTGAGTTCAAGGCCGCATTGGAAACAGCCAGGCATGGTGACTCACGCCTTTAATCCCAGAAAGCAGCCTTTAATCCCAGGGAGTGGTGGTAGAAAGCAGAAAGGTTTATAAGGCGTGAGGACCAGAAACTAGAAACATTTGCCAGGTTAAGCATTTTGGCTGGTTAAGCTTTCAGGCTTTGGAGCAACACAGTTCAGCTGAGATTCATTCTGGATGAGGACTCAGAGGCTTCCAGTCTGAGGAAACGGGACCAGCTGAGGAACTGGCAAGGTGAGATAGCTGTGTCTTGTTCTGTCTCTCTGATCTACCAGCATTGACCCCAATAACTGGCCTCGGGTTTGATTTTATTAATAAGAACTTTTAAGATTCATGCTACAAAGGTCTACAAAATGTCATCTTCTGGGCAAGTCACAGCTACTGAAACAATGAATTCATAGCAGCTTTGGATACCTGCCCTGAGTCTACATAGGTATGAGACTCTCAAGAAAGGGACAGTTTTGGAGAGGGATTTAGAGATTTCTATTCTTCCCTGTTGAAATATTTGCTACCAATAAATTCAGGAAGATGGGGAGTCATTGCCTCATTTATGTACCCACTGGTGACCCTGCCATGCTCCAACAGATGATTTCAATCCAGTGATCACACAGACTGCCCTAGTAAGGTCCTCTGCAAGTACAGGAAGTGGTCTTATCCTCAGCATCTATCTCCCCAGTCTCATTATCAATTGCACATTGTGGAGCTAATTCCATTACTATGTGTTTCAAGACTAACACATTTTTTTAACTTGCTAGGATTTATTACAGTCAATACTGTTTCAGTTATTGCTCCACACTGCATACTACCTACTGCTTGCTTCACATTTGACACATTTTGCAACTTATTTGACATTTCCTACAGTCAACTTCATACCCCATCACAAACACAACAAACTATGATGGTGTCTTACCTTAACATCTATAATTTTTATTTTATCATATATTTTCTCTTTATGTCATACAATCCACTTTTTAATTTCGCTTTATCTTTAAATAGTCTGTTGTCTTTTTCAAAGAGTTGAAAGTAGGAAAAATCATGACAGTTTTTATTTACTTATTCTCCTCATCCTGTCTTATTATACAACTTACCATCTGCTACCATTAGCTTTCTGCCTGAAGAATATCCTTTAGCACTTCTTGTAGTGAATTTTGTTAACAATTAATTCTCTGAACATTTGCTCATCCCAGAATGTCTTTTTCACTCATTATGATAGCTGATTATAGTTGTCACTAATTTCCATCTTTTTCTGTTAGTACTTAAGTTTTTCATAAAATTTCTCCTAGTCTCTCTGTCTATGATGAGAGAGCAGACATAATATTTGAATGTTTCCTCCCATATGTAATATATACTTATTCTCATTTCTCCTTCAAGGTTTTCTCTTGCTTTCTCTTGCTTTCATCAGAGTCTCTTGGGAAATTCTTCTATGAAGACTGGCTGCAAACATAACTTTATAACTTTTCTAATCCCTCAATTCCCTAAGTGTGGCTCTTCTTGTACTTAAAAATGTTCATTTTCTATGTGCCTGGGTTTAGATTCTTTAAGGTGATCTTTTTACTTTAGAATTAATGTCTAAGTTCTGCTTCCTTGTGGCATTTGTAGAGGTTTAGTTTAGGACTTTGTTAAGGATGGTCTACAGGAGGTCTTACTTGGTAGCATTGGCTCTCTCCAGTTCATTCTTCCTGATGTCTCACCTGGATGTCTATAATGTATGGAGTGGATTTAAGATGCTGTCTCTACTTTAAGTAGTGTCTTAGTTAGGGTTTATGTTGCTGTGAAGAGGCACCATGACCAGAGCAACTCTTTTAAAAAAAACATCAAATTTGGCCTGGTTACAGTTCAGAGGTTTAGTCCACTATTGTCATGGAGAGATACATGATGGCATGCAGACCCATATGGTACTAGTGAGGTAGCTGGGGGTCTACATCTAGATCCATAGGCAGCATGAAGTAAGTGGCTGCCACTCTGAGTATAGCTTGAGCATCTGAGACCTCAAAGCCTGCCCTCAATGACATACTTCCTACAACAGTGTCACACCTACATCAACAATGCCACACCTCCTAATAGTACCACTCCCTATTGGGCCATTTTTTTCCAAACCACCATATTCCACTTCCTGACCCCATAGGCTTATTGTCATATTATAGTGAAGAAATGATTAAGTCCAACTTCAAAAGTCTTCATAGCCTATCACAGTATCATCTCTGTTTAATAGTCCAAAGTTCAAAGTCCCTTTTGAGACTCATGTTATCTCTTAACTGTGATCCTGTGTAAAATTATAATGTAAAGCTGATTTCATACTTCAAACATATAATGGCACAGGATATATATTACCATTCCAAAAGGGAGCTTAGTGAGGAAATACCAAAGCAAGTGAAGAAATTCCAAAGAAAGCATGAGCTGGGCAAACTCCAAACTACATCTTCATGTTTTATGTCAAAATGTTCTTCAGATCTACAACTACTTTCAGCTTTGTTAAATGCAACACACTTCTTTCTCTTGGGCTGGTTCGAGATCTTGTTAGCAGCTTTCCTTGGCTGGTATCCCATGACTCTGGCATCTCTAACATCTTGGGGTCTCCAAGGCAATCCAGCCTTCACTTTCACAGCTTCACATAGTGGCCTCTCTAGACTTCCATGCAGGGACACCCCTGGCATATACTTGGCCTCAGTGGCTTTCCTGAGTCACAGAGGAGGACCTCATAACCA